GGTTCATAAATGTTAAAAATTTTCGTTAGAGTGAATTGAGTTATGGCAAATAAAATTCTTGTTTTGAAAAAATATAAATTTAATCTTTTTTTTTTTAACAGTTTAGTATTGAAGCGAAATAAATAGATTTCTGTGTAAACATAAATAGAACGAAAATCCAAGTAGGATAATTATACAGGATATGAAAATATTTTTTCTTTTTAATTCATAAACAGTTTAAAACCGTTTTTTCTTATGATTACGTCAATATTTTCTTTACTTCAGTGCTCTTGAAATACATTATAAACAAATTTTTTGGTTCGATTGGATGCCTTAAATTGTAAAAAAAAAAAAAAAAAAATGGAAATCCTTGAAGGCTTAGTTCCTTAATTACAGTTAAGTTCCAAGTGATATATATATAGAGAAAACTATAGTAATAAAAAATTTCATTCTATGGTTTGTTAGTACACCAAAGTAAATTTCCTCAAAACTAGAAATCATTTTTGCTCGGACGAATAAAAATAAATTATTACGTAAAATGTTTTTTCATGTTATTTTTTGGGGGATGCTTAGATATATGCGGCAATTCTAATGATGAAAAAAAATTTTTATGCATATACCAAACAAAAAAAAAAAAAAAAAAAGAAGAAAATCAAGGTGGGAGAAAGAAGGCAGAGAAATCGATCACACCGACGATGTGAGGCCTTGGGTGAAAATGTTCTACCCTCGGTCGGCCTAATGTTTAACGATACACTCTCCGACTCGATTCACAAAGCTTTTTTCTCGGAAATCTGCATTATAAGTCTGCTTAAAGACCCGTAATCAGTGTATATTTTTTCTTGATTTTGCCTGAATGTGAATGCAAATAATAATTTTTGATAGATTAGAAATTATTTATCAAATACAGCAGCATGGAATGATGCCACATCCTGTTCACACACAGAAGTCCACAAGAGTTTCTTCGGCAGTAGATTATGCAACAAATGAGATTCTAATAGCAGAATCTCCGACCGAAGTGTAAGTATTTCTCAATTGCCATTCTTATTTTCCAGAATTTCCGAACCTCGCTCTCTCTGATGACAACCAAAAAAAAAAAAATCTTTTTTTTTTTTTTTTTCTTACGAGGACGTTGAAGGTAAGTCCTATTCTCATAGTCATCATCGAATCATTCATGTTCTCCGTTCGAACATTAGACTCTTTGGAGACTTTTGATTTATTTACGTTCACTTTTCGATGCTACACTGTCTTTTTATCATAATCATACACTCACCGTTGTACTGTTCCCATCATTTCTGCTCGATGATATTGGAAGCGAGGTCCCGTATGGTTGTTTTAGACCATTGCTACGCGTAGAAGCTTGTGAGATGGAGGTGTGATGGGTGGAGTTCACCGAAGGCGTGACATTGTTCTTTTGCATCCCATACGAGCTTGACTGCGAGGCAATTTGAATTGCGCGAGTGTTCGAGGAGCTATTCTGTCTCATAGACGCACTGCTGTTGGACGGTTGTATTAGAGATGACTGAGATTGACTCTGTCTCCTCACAAGGTCATAATTTGTTAAGTAATTCTTGGTCTGAGGTTTACGAGGAAGATTAGATGTGAAACCCTTCCCGCGAAATGAAAGGATCCATCAATGAGAAATACTCACGTTGAGCTTAACCTCAGTAATCCACTCGTGCATTAATCCTTCATCAGGCTTCATGCGTTTTTCGGGATCCCAATGGAGGCATCGAGATATAAAGTCTAAGAAGACTTCGTCTTGACACTTTAGAACTCCCGACAAAGTCTTTGACGCCGGTCGTCGTCGCTTATCCTTTGAATTTGCAATTAATCGAGGGTTCCCATTCGAGTCTGAGGATATTATTATCATTGACGGTTAATATCTTTTTAAAAGAAAAAAAAAAAAAAGGATCAAATTTTCATTTCCTGAGATGAAGAATTACCGAAAAATAGCTTTTTCCTAGTGCTCTTTTCAATAAGGTAACGCTCTGGCACACCCTGAACCTCCATGATGCAAGCCAACTGCTCTTGTTCGCCCTCGCCCGGGAATAGTGGGTAGCCTAGTAATAAAAAAACCAGACAAAAAAAAAAAATTTTTTTTTTTTTTTTAAGAAACAATGAACCACCCGGACAATTATCGGCAATTACCAAATAATTTCACGAACCCGTGTACAGCTCGGCAAGTATGCACCCTAAACTCCACATATCTATCGCCATATTGTACGTCATTCCCAGTATGACCTCGGGTGATCGGTAGAATCGACTCTGGATGTAGGTGTAAACTTTTTCGTTTTCAAAACAGCTACTACCAAAATCGATAACCTTTATGCTACTCTTGGTAGGATGTTTTAGAAGCACGTTCTGTTTTGCATCATTAAACGATTAATGTGGATGTCTTGTATCCGGGTGATAAAATCAGGTGAGGATTCAGAATTAAAAGTACCTCTGGCTTCAAGTCGCAGTGGACCACGTTATGCCTATGAAGCATCGACAGGGAATTGAGGAGTTGAACGCAGAATCTGCAATGGTGCATGCAATGTTTATATCGGAGATTAAAATCAAACACGGTCGATATCTCGATAATGAGGCGTTGGTCAAAAGAAGGAAAAAAAAAAAAAAAAAAAAAAGCAAGAGCATACCGTTTTATTAACCCCAGACTGAAGCCTTGGAAGCCGTTACTTTTTATGAACTCGTAAAGATTCATGCTAAGGAGCTCAAAGACGATGCAGAGATGGTTTCTGAAATAGAAGTGATCCTCCATGCGTATAATATTATGAGAATCATCGGGGTCCTGCACGCACGCATAGTTTATTTAGTATTGCAATGTCGGATTGAATGCTCCCGCCTATACAAGACACGAGAATCTCGACGAACTATTTACCCAATTGTTCAAATTTTCCAGTATCTTAACTTCAACCAACGCCTGACAATGAAACCTCTTCTTGTTTCGAATAATCTTCACGGCGACGTATTCACCCGTCTTGTGATCCAGACATTTAAGCACCTGCCCGAAGGAACCCTTACCAATGCTGTCCACAATCTCGTAACGGTAACACAAATGATCACCGATGGCGACCAAGTAGTCTCCCCGCTCATCGTCAAACCCAAAGTTGCAACCGGTCAGTTCAGGGCTTGCTGCGGCTTTCGAGGCATTAGGTCCAACGAAGTAGACATCCGGGAAGGACATTATTTCGGAGCGCTCATACAAGGACAGGTAGGGTGCATAGGCTTTCAGCGCAACGCTGGGGCTCACCGGAGTCGCCCTCTTCGTCTGCGTTTCCTGTCCTTTCCGCTCTTTTCGATCTCTTTCCTTCTTTTCATTCACATGCGGTAAACCGGTAATCTCTTCTTCGCTGCTGGCGACGTGATCTTCCTCCGGATGGTTGGACGCCTTGTTATAACCACTAGGGGTGCTAGCGGCAGAAGAGGAAGAATCCAATTCCATGTGATAAGAGGAGCCGGAAGGGGGTTTCAACGACACCGGCGAGTTAACCAAGTTAGCGGCCGAAGTGTTCACGCACAAAGGTTGAGCAGGTTGGGAGGTGGTTCTGGCCTTTCGACTGCCCACAATTGAACTCGTCGAAAGACCGTTGTTCGTGGGAGTCTTTGATGTGGAACTGCTGCTGTTGTTGCTTTTGCTGCTTGACGAAAATATGCTGGCGATCGTACTCGACAGTCGTCTTGGGCGCTTGGAAATTGACGTCGACCTCGTCGCTTGGCCATCGGCTGGAAATTTTCACGCGGGATCGTCAGCAAACTGAAACAAATGTTGCGATCACCCTCAATAAAAAAAAAAAAAAAAAAAAATGCGATCCCTACCTTTACTGGGCGTCGTGGCACTCTTCCTGCCCGATAATGGTAACGACGTGCCACTACTATTGCTGTGCAGCGTTCCCCTTGAGGATTTCGAATCCGAGGGTTGCTTGCTGGGCGACACCGGTGCGACCTTTGAATTCGACGACATCAGCCCTTTTCCATTCGGCGATGATAACCGATTCCCGAATTTTGGCGTCCTGGGTTGAATCAGCGTCGGCGTGGGAATCTTTGAGAAAGAGGAGGTGGGTGTCGTGGGTGGTATTCTCAGGTTGGATGTGGGAGTCTTTGATTTGATGTTGGGATTGGAGTGCGTTGGTATCCTTACGGTCGGTGGTAGCGCCGGAATGTTGATGGGAGGTAATGTGAGAGCGGCGAGTTGAGACGGAGTATTCATGTTCGCCGGAAGCGTCTGTGTAATGAATTGGAAAATGGTGAGGTAAGTGGACTTAACTGGCGGGCTACGCAGCAAACAATTCCAACCTGTCGCCTGACGATCTTATCAGTCTGCTGTTGGCTCGTTATCTAACATAATTATTAAAACCAAACCATGATTTTTTTGTTTAAGTCTCATGTACATATATATAGATACATTACATATACATTTGTTGAGAAACCTAGGTGCTGACTATTTCTTTTAATGGGGGATATGGTGTTTTCGTAGAGTGAAAGAATCACACTATTTTAACGTACCGTTCCTCTCGGCCTGGTCTTCTTCTTATGACCATCGGTGCTCTTGTTATCCTTCCGGTCACGTGGAGACGCGCCGCCATTCCTTGAAGAGGAGATCACCACGTTCTTCTTCTCACCACTTGACGCACTCAATTCTTTCATTATGGAGACGGGCAATGCAGGCACGGGGGGAATCTCTTCGTTGACCCTGGTCAGTCGGGGTTGCGGAAGCATGCTTGGAGGAACCGAGGGCACCGGTGGTAGAGGTAGAGCATCCTTCGAGGGCGGTGGATGAGATAGCCGATGCAAGGCAAGGGTGGGGGTGGTGGTTCTGCTGGAAGAGTTCTTCGGCGACGGCAGGGTGGGCGAGCTTGGCGATGAGATGGAATTCGCGTTCATATTGGACTTTCGTCGTTTGTGATTGGTGGTGGTGGAACCATTCGTATCTAGATTATCTGGTTCTGTTTTAGAGAACATGCCCTGAATATTTTTAGACAGCGGTGAAAAATGTTCAACACTACTATAACTCATATTACGAAGTGAAATTGGTGGTGGCAATCTTGAGGTCAAAGTTGACGGTGGTGGAGTGATTGGCATGGTTTTTGGTTTACCGACATCAGGGAGCAGTAGATCATCGTCGTCGTCATCATCATCGTCATAACCCAGATTTATTAGGTTATCGCTGGATTGTTTGGCATTATTTTTTCGCTTCGGGGTGAGCTCGTCTTTGTATGAAACCAGTTGTTCCAATTGTTCCATTGCAAGATTTTTCGTGTTCAACGAGTTGTCCAAATTTTTTCGTTTATCTTTACCCTTTGTTTTATCCTGGCGAAGTCTCTCTTCAGAACGTGAACTTTTTAGAGACTTCTTACTATTCGCCACATCCACCCGTACATTCGTTGTCAAAGTAACCCCAATACCGGCACTATCACTAGCGAATCGATTATGACCCCAATTACCTGGTTTTGCGAGGTTGCCAAGCACCGAACCGTCCATCAATGTACTGGTCCTTCTTCTCGGATCATAGGAGGTCGACAGGTGAGCGATCGAAGGGTTGCTGGTGTGGTTACCAGCCGACGGTTTCACGATGTCCTGAACGCTTGTACGGCGAACCAACGGTTGCCTGATGGGCAATGGTTGGGTGCCCGTTTGACGCCTTGAAACGGACGGCGTCCTTTTTGACTTCTCGGTTCTGCAGTGAACATTATTGGGGGAGCAATCAATTTGTTATCACGCACGCGAATTCAAAGAATGAATTTGATTAGTAATCGATAGGAAGACGAGAAGTAAAAAAAAAAAAATTTTCGGGTTCAGATCATCCGAGATGATGTCACAGTGTGTAATTAATTACCCTAAGAGACCATGTTGTTTGTTCTGTAATTCCTCGTCAAATGAATATCCAAAAGCATCCTCGTCACTCTCGTCATCTCTGATGATATGAGGTTGCTTATTTTGAAAGAGATTTTTCATCCTGGCCATCACCTCACTGGTTTGACTAGCAATCTTACTCTCTACAAGCTGCAGGTCATTGAACTGCTTCAACGCCTCCTCGGTTGCAGCCTTGTATTTATTCTTTTTGTGCTGTTTCGCTGAAACAGTGATCTCGGTCGACGAATCCTTCGTGACTGATGAAGAAGAGTGATCTTGTTTGTGACTGGACTTCTTGCGAGACGAGGAGGTGGTCGACGACTGATCTTGTTGAGTGGAGTCTATCAATTCCAACAGCTTCGTCACCTCGGCCTTTCCTTCCTTAGATTTTTTAGAGAGACCGCTGGACCTTCGATGAGGTGGTGAGGGGGGTTTTTGTTGTTGGAGCGACGAAGCAGAATTTTTTACGTGCGGCGGATGCTGCAGCCAGGATGGAAGATCGGGTACATCGGGAACATCTGATATCGACGAATTTGTCGAAGAATTGATTCCCGTGTGAGTTCGGTTTCGAGTTTGACCCGACAGGTTACTTGACGATGAAGAGGTGGTGGAAACGTTGGACAAACGTCGCGACGCAGGAATTTTTTGCGCGGAATCTGTCATTGATCGATATTCGGAGGGGAGAGAGAGAGGAGAATGAAGAAATTATCATATGTAGAACCAGATACGTTATAATAGATTCTTAATAACGGGAGTTTCTAATCATTAGAATTAATGAAACCGAATAGTGATGCCAATAAAAACTCCGGGCATTCCACCTCAATCCCGCATTAATATCATGGACATCACTACGTCCACACACATGACCTGTTTTTACCGATCCTGGCGTAAAGATCTAGATTTTTTTCTCGTATTCTTTTTTTTTTTTTTTTGGTTTTCTGTTTGACAGCGAACAAAATAAGTCCTTTCAACCCACCTATAATGTTTACGGACACTTCGCTCGGAGACATGCGGTTCGAATTCGATGAGGCTCTCGAAGATACTTTGCGAGTGGAGGGAGGTCGGTCGGTTCCCTTGGTGGAAGTCTTTGGTTTTTTCTTTTGTTGGGTGGAAAGCAGGGACGACCTTGGCTGTTGTGTGATGGAGGTCTGCTGGTCACTTGTCTGAGCAAGGGAAGAGGCGCGAGGTAGTGCTGATGTCTTTTTGGTTTTGGTTTGCGGTTTGGCGTTGAGCAATACTGGCGCAGGAGTCAAGGATGAATGAATTTGTACTGGAGAAGGAGCTATTTGCATGAGGTCATTCTAAGTGGTGTGGAAAAGGGGTGTATGGTATATCGAGATTTTTTTAAAAAGTATAATGTATATATTTACAAGGAAACGAGGAAAGAAATTTTTTCGTTGGTTCTCCAGAGTCCGAAAGAATAAACTAAAGTCTTGACAAACCCGTTCTAGTGGTGGCAAAGAGATATACGTATATGTATACAGTACTACACTATTCACCAAGATATTCACGATGATAGTTGTAAAAAAAAAAAATCCTTCACTGTTTTCAGTTAATTTCTTTTATAAAAGATATCCCTCTATACTATATATATCAATATATACATATAAATTAATAGAAGGAAAAAAGTAAAGTACAGGCTGTTGAGTCTTTACACACGCTCTCTTTTCGATGGACAAGAAAAAAAGAAAAAAAATGGTAAAATAAAAATAAAATAAAAAACTTTTTGGTGAACGGGAAATGCAGAAGAACCGAAGAAGAGAGAAAAGTTGAAAAAATTAAGAATTTGAGAAATATAGAAAAAATTATTGTTCTGCTGCACTGCTTGCCGGACTGTTTTCTATTCTTGTCCACTGCCAATACTATGCGATGACCAAACAGAAATTTTTTTTTTTTTAACGTATGGCACAAACACATTTCTGTGACAAAACTGATTTTTTTTTTTTTTAACCCATGTAAAGAATACTCCATGTCTTCTCGACCCCGTTATGTCACATCCTACACATCCATTTTCTGTGTTGTATTACAATCTAAAAATGTCCGCATGATGAACATATGTAATTCTTTTTTTTAAATGCAGAGAATTTTTGATATACAGTGTATACGAGGAATTCGAATCAATTGGCACCTTTTTTAAATTTATTATTATTACTGTATTTAGGTCATGCTAGGATAGGTATGGCAGATAATCCCAAGCATGATCGTAAAAATAGCCGGTAGATGGCAAATAAATAGTTGTAAAGGAAGGAAAAAACATTCGGTTACGCACCAATGCCTGGTTTTTTTCATTTATGTGACACACTGCAAATTATAACACGTTTTTTTCTAGTTCGTCAGAGAATCATGGTGTGCACGTATTACAGAATTATTACTGTTTATTAGTGTAGTTAATAATGGAATTGCGAGATTACGCTGAATTAGAAGGGAACGAATAAATTAAATTTTGAAATTCGCGACACTTAAAGGAGGAGACGACGACGACGATGACGGCGACTAGCATTGCAGGAGATAAAATTTGATTGGGCAAACAAGTAATTAATTGAATTTCTCCGCCACACTCTTCATTCACCACCACCAACTAAAGTTTACGTAATCTCTAATACGGAAATATACAGTATTTGTACTGTACAGTAGGTACAGTAGTAAAAAAATAAGTCGATCAAAATCATGATACGCAGATTTTTAACTGCCGAAGATAGATCACACAGTGCACACATTGCGTCCGGTGCACTCGGCATGCATCTTAATGTCCGTACGCAATTTCTCGGTTTTTTAAACACAATTGCTCAAATGATAAAAATCAACATTGGAAAGTGACTCATTGTATACATCATAATAGCGATGTGTAATAATTTGAACTGTACTGTCTTTATTCGCTTTCCCTGTGTTTGTTGCGGATTCTATCACGTGCAGACAACGCATTATTATTATTAAGAGTATTAAGATTGATGATAATAATAATATTATTACTGTTTGTTATTATTCCAAGTCTATTTACGGAAGTTATGATTGATAAGAGCGTACACACATATTATAAACTTGCCATATATGGTATGGTCAATGATGGTGTCGACAACCTCCTCTGCGTCACTCTCTGACTCCAGAATTCAGACCAGCGGGAAACAGAGAATTATAGTTGGGAACAATTCGTTCGTTGCCAAAGACCCCCTCGAAGGGTAGGTACGTAGGTCATCTTTTTCAGGCTACGATCTTCATCCACCTTTACTTATAGTTGCTGTTTTCTGTTCGACCGACGCGTAAAAAAAAAAAAGAATTAGTAACAAGCGTATTGTTAATTGACATTATATGGAGGTCGCACGAATGCCATAAGCGTTCGTTCAAAAATGGTCAAGAAAAAGAAGTAGGGTGTGAACGAATAATGAATGAGCCTACTAATCTATTGTCACATTATTTTATAAATTTAGCAATAACCTAATAATGAGAGGTAGAGGCGAGAATTAGGAAGTAATCTACTGCTTCGAATAGAATGCACACGTAGCAGATGGTGACGGTAAGTGTGGTACGAGCATGTAGTACGGTATTGTTATATTAAATGTGTCAAAAAAAAAACAAATGAACGAAGCATGCATATTATGGCAGAATCGAACAATTATACGTCAAATTTCCATTCATCCCTGTCTAACGCTAATACGTACACCTCTCTATATTGTAATATATCAATCGTATGCAGTACAATTTGATTCCAGTTTCAGACTAGAATGTGAGGGCACCGTACAGTGAGTGTGTAGTGGATTTTGTTATCGTTTTTTTACTCTCATTCATTTCCCCTTCTATAATCATCACAATGTGCCACATCATCCCATTAGCCACAAAATCGAAAGCGATACAAACGATAATGGTGATAACACTGACGATTGTTGTCGTGTTAGGCTTAGCCGCCCGGTTGTCAACATTATTGTTGCTGTTGCTATTATTGAATGATGAGTGAAATGTTAAACTGTCTCATCTCATTTCATTACAGGCAGACCAAAGTGTTAGCGTTTAATGTTCCGCGTTGCTTCCGCTGTTGACAAATTTATTCTTGATGCTGCTCATGTCTTTTTTAAGAACCTTTCTCCTTTCCCGTCTCACTTATCATTGTTTCGTGAATCAAAGATGACACATTTCATTATTGATTGACTTTCGTTGAATGTAAAAATTAGGACATCCCGTCTGTGTCAAAGATGTATGGTATGCGGTCAATATCGTTGTCAATAAATCTCCCATAATATTTATTGAAAATGACTGGCCGAGATTTTGCCGGCGATTCGAGCGAAAATGAATGTACGCACGTACAAAAAACTTGCTAATTAAAGGATCAGTGGTAATTTGGAATAATCACGCGCATGTTTCTCACAGGCCACATTGATTTCATGTTTTCGGCGGTAACACCACTGATCTAAACAAGTTGTCATCCTACCCACACAATCGATTTCAACCGCATTTATAAAGCTTCCCCCGATTACTATCAATTCACTTCCACAATATAAGTTGACATCTACGTTTCACACGCAACTCTATTTCCATCAAATGTTTATGTACGGTACACCTTTGGCATACGATAAGATTCCCTTTAAAAATCTAGAAGAAAAAAAATATTTACTCGTCCATGGATAAAGAGATTATCTTTATTTTAGAAATCGAGCGGTGATTTACAGCATTTTATAAAACAATGATTTCAAGTTTCTTGTTTAATTTAATAGACGAAAAAAATCTTTAAATCTTACGCATCAATCGGTCTATACTGTATCTTATTAAAATTCGTATAATAGATGCATGTATTGTGACAGATTAGTCAATAAGTTGGTCACCAATAATTCTACGCTGTACAAAAATAATATCAAAAAAGGTAAGATGTTTATAAGTCTTGGCCACTATTTATTTGTCAGAAATATTATACTGTACTTTTACTCATTTCCTAAATGCGACATTATATTCTTTAAAAATATTTTATGATTAAATTTATTTATTAACATAAATTTTATTTATAATTTAATAACAACTTGCTTTTGCCTTTTCATTAAAAATAAATATAAAAATATAATAAATACATCCATATTTACAGTATGATTTAAATTAAATTTAAAGAATATAAAAGCAAAAAAATTTTAATACAAATATTTTAACTTTCAAAAATAATTTCTGCTTATAATTATTTATATCAATTATATTGTATTCTTTTTAAATGTTACTTGAATTTAATATATTGATTTTAGAATTGTATTACATAAACTCTTTTTAATAATTTTTTTATCTTTTTTAAAATAAAATTACTATATTTTAAATTAAAATCATAAATATTGGTTGAAAAATATTTATTTGATATAATATCACTCAAATAATATTTATTAAAAAAGTAATTAATTTAAATTAATAAATAATATAAAAAATTATCAATCTATTTTAATTATATAATTTAATATTGGTGTTATATAATTTAATAAAAATAAAAAAACTCTTTCTGCTGATTCCCAAATTTTCAGAAAATTTTCTTTTTTGATAATTTTTTGAGAAAAAAAAAAACCAGCCAAAAAAAAACAAAAGAAATCAAGAGAAACCACCTTTACAACTAAAACAACTTACAAAAACAAGTTCAAAAACTCTTTACAGAATACAAAAGAGATAAATTTTACAAAAAATTATTAACTTTTACTGTATAAATTTTTTCTTTTAGAAAGAAAAAAACAACAAGAAAGACTGATTCACAGTAAGCTCTTGGAAGCCCAACATTAACCTTACAAAGCTCTTAGCCAGGCCAGTGCAGGTTAACACCTTTTTAGACATCAAGAGAAACTTTACAAGCAATAACTAAAACCGATAAATCAGTTCAAGTCCAAATACTCATAAAACCTAGAGAGACATCCAAGCTTCATTGACTATATAGTAAAGAAGCATACACATCACAACAATAACATTTCAATAATATTACATTACGTAAATACAGACACGTATATTTTTCACAACAAACTCAAAGATGTGTCAACTAAACAATGTTAATACACTTTCTATATGTTTATGCAAATCAATTATTAACAACCCCATAACCCCACGTGTTACACAAATTAATTATCAATAACCTTATAATTCCACATGTTTATTATTAACTAATCAACAATATCAATAATACTATCACAATATACACATGAAACAAATACTATTAACACATCACAACAAACAACAAGGTTTTTTCATATTATCAAAATAATAATAAGGAATAAACAAACCTGCAACATATGTCTAGGAAAATATAGTAATGATCAACAGCAAAATATAACAATATCAAATACAGTCA